GAGAGAGAGAAACTGGGACACTTTAAGAGCAACTGAAAAAGTGGGATGGAAGAGGATTAATCAGGATTTTTCCAGCCAAATCAGGACAGTTGGAGGGAATACTCTTGTGCTACGGAAATCTGATATTCTCACTACATGTCAGTTGTATACACAAAGGGTGTGTGTGTGTGTGTGTGTGTCAGCCTTGCTTGTCCCTTGCATCCCCTGCACTTTCACCCCAAAGACCTTTGAAATGTCTCTTTTGCACTACAGCTCCCTAAATCCCCCAAGTAACATAGCTAGTTGGGATGCTGGGAGTTGGAGTTTGAATTTCCCCTGGATCTGGAAAGGAACTAGAATCAACAAGAGCTTGTAAGTACTGTTACAAGTAATGTAGCTACTTATAGCTAGTTACTTTTTCAGAGGATGCAGGCAGAAGGGAGCCCTATTTCAAAAGCATTGTAATGAGGAAAAGTGAACTTTGTGTTACACGATGTAGCTAGTTATTTTCAAAAGTTACACTTTAAAAGCATTTTAATAGGCTTTTTTAAGTATGATGTTGTCCTTTTGTATTTTTCCCCCCTCTATAAAAAGTGAGAGATTTCCAATTTTAACAGTAGGGTAGACAGGTATTATTTCCCCTCTTTAAAAAGTACAGTAATGGAAAGTAACAGAAAAAACAAGAAGAAGGCGTTACTTTTCCCACAATATTGTAAAAATTAACAACAATGGATGATTGGTCCAAACTCTGTAGCAGCTAATGGAAACAGATTACTTATTAAAAAGTGCCTTTCCAAGCTCTGGTCTGGGTAAGGCTTCTTTCGGCTGCATCCGCACTGCAGAAATAATCCAGTTTGACTTAACTTTACCTGCTATGGCATGGACATTCTGGGGATTGTAGTTTTGTGAGATATTTAGCCGTCTCTCTCAGAGAGTGCTGGGTACCACAACAAACTACAATTCCCAGAATTCCATAGCAGTGAACCATAGCAGGTAAAGTGGTGTCAAAATGGATCATTTTTGCTGTGCGGATGCAATCTCTGTAACATTTTGGAAGAGGTGGAAAAGCCTTCTCCCTGTCCAAAGGAGAGCCAATTCCTCCCACCTCATGTTTACTCCATTCATAGGCAAAATGGGAGCCACAGGCAAAGAAAAAAGATGGGATGCACTACCCATAGGCTGCATCTGCACTGCAGAAAAAAAAAAAAAGAAGTTTGACACTGCTTTAACTGCCATGGCTCAATGCTATGGAACCTTGGGATTTATAGTTTGTTATGGCACCAGAGCTCTGTGACAGAGAAGGCTAAATATCTCACAAAATGACAAACCCCAGAATTCCATAGCACTGAGCTATGGCAGTTAAAGCAGCATCAAACTGCATTATTTTTGCAATGTGGATGCAGCAGAAAGAGGTGAGATGGATGGTGATAGATGGCAACCAAGGAAGCGAAGAGATGTCGCCCATTTACCAGTCTGATTGCAGCGACTCTTTCCTGACACCCAACATGCGCTGATAGGTCCAAACAAGCCATGGTACCGTTTCTCCAAATCTGGCTTGTGATGTGCAAATCCACGGCTGCGAAAAAGCTACAGTTTGTAAAGCAGCCCCAGAACACAATCTGAACCCAAGGTTTATTCTTGGCTCACAGAGTCTAGTTTGTTTAAACCATGGCTTGTTAGGTCATATGCCCCCCTGACTCATTTGTCTCTGGCTTGTTATCTTTGGGCCTTTGCAGACTGCTAGAAATAGTGCAAATTGAGTCCACTTTTAGGGTTAGGGTTAGGGAATCATGGGAACTGTATTTTATTGTGGCACCAGAGTTCTCTGACAGAGAAGGCTCAATGTCTCAGGGGGAAAAAAACAATTCCCATGATTCCCTAGCACTAACCCTAACCCTAAAAGTGGACTCAATTTGCACCATTGACAAAGCTGGGGCAGGGTAGGGTTTGAATCAATCAGAACGAGGAGGACAAACCATGGTTTGTTTTATCATCTGTGGTGCAGTTTGTGACTTAAGCAACAAACCATAGTTAGGACAAACCATGATTGATTGCAAGGGAGGAGAAAGTGTGGTCCATGGGCCACAGGTGGCCTCAAGTCCTTTTTGTGGCACCAGAAACCATCCTCAAATATGTTTTGGGCAAAACCAGGAGGCGGTGGAGGACTCATGTTTTGAGACATGGCAGGAGAGATTGATTTTTCCAACATGGGAGGACTGGTTTTCCCATGATCCATGCAGAGTGCCGATGGAGTGCTGTGGGGTTTGTGCTTTCAAGCCCACCACCATGACTACCTTCTGCTCTGGTGTGGCATTATGCCACCTTCTCACCTGCTTGACATGGATCATGTCTTTGCTTCCACTCTGCAGATGCTGTCACGGATGTCCATGCGCCTGGGGATCTTGACCAGAAGAGGAGCCCTGGGTGCAGCCGCTGTCCGAATGGCTCATGGGCATGGAGGACATGGTAAGAGATGCCCCAGCGATTTCTTCCCCTTCCTTTCTTCCTCCAAACCTGGCATCTTACAGACATGTGCCATTACAATCAGCATGCTGGTGGTTGTAGTCCTACACATCTGGAGGAAGCCAGGTTGGAGGAACCTGTCCTAAGAAATCAAAGTGGTCCCCTTCTGTTGGAATGAGCAGCGATCATGCTGTTCTTTGGAGTTCTCTGACAGTAATCTTCTCCATGTAGGAAAAGAGCGGAGGGAAATATCAGCTGCAGTCTGAATTATGAAACAATTCCCAATTCAAATAATGCTTTCCAGGGCTTGAATGACGAATATACAGTTGGCTATCCTTATCCATGGATTTTTTTTCATCCACAGTTTCGAGCATGAAAATATTCAAAAATATATAAATTCTAAAAAGCAAAGCTTGATTTTGCCATTTTATATAAGGCAGCTTTTTTACTGTGCTATTATATTTAATAGGGCTTGAGCATGCAGGGATTTTGGTATCCATGGGGGGTTCTGGAACCAAACCTCAGCGGATATCAAGGGCCCACTAGGGTGAGTTATGTCCATGCATACAGCTTTGGATAGCGTATCTGAAATATTGTACGTCTTTGACAAAGTCCCCCATGATATCCTTGCAAAAAGCTAGAAAAATGTGGACTAGACAAAGTGACAGTTAGTTGGATCAGTAATTAGTTGACCAGCTGAACCCAAAGGATGCTCAGCAATGGCTCCTCTTCTTCATTGATTCTGGAGAGAAGTGGCCAGTGGGGTGTCCAGTGGGGATCTGTCCTGGGCCCAGTTGGCTATTCAACATCTTTATCAATGACTTGGATGAAGGAATAGAAGGCATGCTTCTCAAATTTGCAGATGACACCAAATTAGGAGGAGTAGCTAATACCCCAGAGGAGAGGATCAGAATTCAACATGCCCTTTACAAATTAAAGAGCTGGGCCAGAACTAACAAAATGAATTTCAACAGGGAGAAATGTAAAGTATTACACTTAGGAAGAAAAAAGGAAATGTACAGATATAAGATGGGGAACAACTGGCTTGATAACAGTATATGTGAAACAGATCTGAAAGTCTTAGTGGACTAAAAAAGCCAGTGCAATTCTAGGCTCCATCAATAGGAATATGGTGTCTAGATTGAGGGAAGTAATAATCCCACTCTGTTCTGGTCAGACCTTATCTGGAATATTATGTCCAGTTCTGGATGGGATATCAACAAGCTGGAGCATATCCAGGGGAGGATGACCAAAATGGTGAAATGTCTGGAAACCAGAAGCCCTGTGACGAATGGCTTAGGGAGTTGGTATATTAAGAGGTGGCATGAATGATAGCCACCTGTATGTCTTTGACAAGGTTCCCCCATGATATTCTTGCAAAAAAGCTAGTGAGATGTGGACTAGACAATGGGACTGTTTAAATATTTGAAAGGTGTGACTGAAACAAGAGCAAGCTTGTTTTCTGCTGCTCCAGAAACTCAGAGATGGAGCAATGGATTCCCATCTAAACATTAGGAAGAACATCCTGAGAGTAAGAGCTGTTTGACAGTGAAAGACACTTCCTTGGAGTGTGATGGAGTCTCTATAATCGCTCCGTCTGAAGAGACCCCATTCTGCCAAAGCACTCCTGACAGACGGCCATCTAGCCTCTGTTTAAAGACCTCCAAAGAGGCTCATACTCTAGAACTGAGCATCTGTGACCATAGTGGACCAAATGGTTCCCTATGAACCTGACCATGTCTTAAGATGGGAGTCCCAGTTTTGGAAAAAGGGCAGGATATAAATAAATATAATAATAATAATAATAATAATAATAATAATAATAATAATAATAATAATAATAATAATAATACAATAATTAAGATCTGCTGGGGAGGCCCTTCTTTTTGTCCCTCCAACCTCTCAGGTATATTTGATGGGAACACAGAAAACAGGGCCTTCTCGGTAGCTGCTCCCAGATTCTGTAAATCCCTTCCCTGAGAGGCTACACTGATACCCTCCTTACTATCTTTTGGCAAGCTGGAAAACCCTTTTTATTCTAATAGGCCTTTGAGGACTGATTTCCAGTTTAGCGGAAACAATTTTGAAAGGTATAATGTGCTGGACTTTTCTTTTTTCTTTTTGCTGTTGTTGTTTTTAATAGTTTGCATTTCTGTTGTTGTTGCTGTGTGCCATCAAGTCATTTCTGACTTATGGTGACCGTATCACAACATAATTGTATCAAATACAATCATGCACATACATTATTTCCTAT